ATATTTATTCACGCATTAAAATATGATGACTTGTGGATGGAAATGGAGCGAACCAAGGTAAAATCTTCAAAGTACGTGTCTGTTTTGTAGTAGATGCTTGCTGTAGATTTTTCAGCAATTTACGAAATAGTACGTGTTGGTTTTCGAAGCGTCCACCATGTTTCCTATTTAGAGTCATCTGGACACTTAACAGGCATTTGAATCCATCTTGGCGCTCGAATGAAGGCGAAATTTGGTAAAATATGAGCTACAGAATTATTTTAAAGTATAACAACCAGCGAAGAAGTAAGCCAGTAAAATTGGCCTATTAAATGTTTTAAATGTTTATATACAAACAAATGTTTTGCGACAGCCGACCTCTGAACTTTGATAAATAAAGTTGATTGCGCGTTCTAAGTCTGTAGCATGCATCGCCGATTTCTCACTCCTGCTACATAAGTACACAGCGTATATTAATATGGTTCGGCTCACCGCACACTTTCGTTGAGTGGCGACGTTTATTGTTTAGGACGTAACTCTCCAAGATGTTGTTGTTAGAATTCCGAAATGTAATACGATCCGATATGAAGTCTGCGCTCATGTCGAATATTATTTCACTCAATGTAGATCAATGTAGACACAATAAAAGTGCAACAGTGATGCATTTAGGCTATACGTGATTCTTGTTTACGTTTAACTATATATTGTACTTATCCTATCTCTATTTCAACATATCATTTACGAACAATTGAAAATACTTTATATTGATGTGTTTCATATAAATATCTTGTTTCACGGCAGGAGCATTGGCATTATATATAGGTCAGTGGGCAGGAGTCTCTATTATTATGGCGTGTATGAATTCGTCACGCGAAAAGCGCGTTCGGATTGTGCACGCATAAGACACAGTTACTGTGGGTTTTTACTACCATGGATTTGCTAAGTGTGCAACTAAGTACCGTCCTACAATTAGAATTGTAAATATTTTACTCTGGAATAACCGTTTTAGCGCAAATTACTGGTATGTCAATGACTTGTTTATGCACGCGTATATTCGAGCGTATATTATTTTCTGATTATGTTCTAGAGTAGCCAGTGCTTGGCGGCCATTCACTTTTTAAAGTTGTCAATTGGCTACTGGGTAGGGTGGGGCAACGATTTATTGCTATTTGTAGATTCATGTATGCGTAGCGTAGGTACCTATTTTTTTTATTTCGTGGGCACATATAAATAGTAGGTATCGAGTATATAGGCTATGGATCGTGATTTAAGATAATTTTTTATAAAGTTTGGACATGCAAACCTTCACAATTGTATATATTTACAATTTTATATATTTGTCATTTCTTTAATTAACTATATTGAGTTATTGATATTTTCCTACATAATTATTTACTAAATATGATATATTATAATATTATAATATCTACTATATATGTAAATGTCACACAGTAATCAGTGTAACAAGTCGTTTGAAAAATGTATATATGTATATATATATATATATATATATATATATATATATATATATATATATATATATATATATATATATATATATATATATATATATATATATATATATATATATATATATATATATATATATATATATATATATATATATATATATATATATATATATATATATATATATATATATATATATATATATATATATATATATATATATATATATATATATATATATATATATATATATATATACTTATATCTTAAAATTAATTATTGCTACTCAAGTTTCACGTCTTATTCAAGACGATCTTCAGGCAATTAATTCAGTTTGTGTTTGATTCGTCAGCATCAACGGTCGGTCGCTGACGCGTAGGCTTGTCTTGCGTCATCGGTTTGAATTTGCACGCGCTAAATTTTTCCTTATGACAGCACTTCGCATAAAATTCTGATCGCGTGTTCAGTGAATTGTTCCCTTTCGCTTTCAGGATGCATAACTTCTCTTCCAAACAGAGGCCACATCGCTTTCCACCAGGCGTATACGCAGCAGCTCTTTTCAAGATGGACCACTTGATGCTATAATTTCTTCTACTTTGCTTCAGACTCCAAATATACTTGGAAAGCTTTGTATCAGACGAGTGGTTGTAGAGGTTGAACGACGTTTTGTGGTTCGCGTATCTTTCCTTGAATGGGTTGGCCGTCATTCCAATATATTCTTTTGTATTTCCGTTATCAGTTGTTGTCACTGTGGCTTTATAGACGATGTTGTCTACTTTGCACTTCCCGTCTAGTGGGCATTCATCTGGTTTATTACAGTTGCATTGGACAGGTTTTTGGGTAGGGTTTCTCTTTAACAGGCGATGGTTATGTCGGGATATAATGGTTTTGACATTCTCCATGCAGGAGTAGCTAACTTTGACTGTGTTGCGGTTAAAGACCTTATGAAGCGGGTTAGTAGAAGGGAAATGTTTATCAATCAATTGTAGGAAATTTCGACCAACGTTAGTGCGAACAGTTTTACTGAAGGGAGGATTAAACCAAATGATGTTTCTACGGCGTCTTCGGTTGGTAGATGGCAAACTGGAAGAATTATCACAGGCCGAGTATTGCAGAGGTACATCGTAGTTGCTGCGCTTAAGCGCATCTTCGTAAAATGGTGCAGCAGAATCAAAGGATGCTTGATCGGAAGAAAGTGAGGAGATGCGTTTGTTGATTGAGGAAGGGATATGGTTAATGATAGAAGGTGGGTGGTTAGATCTATTGTCGACGTAGAGTGGGCCATTGTTTGGTTTCCTAAAAAGTGAAAATGTTTCGTTTTTCAAGTCCAATGTGAGATCTAGGAAGTTGACAACATGACAGTTCACCTCTGCTGTTATCTTGAAACCAATGTTATTAAAGATAGCGTGTAGTTCTTTCCTCGCTTTATCGGCTGATCTGGCTCGTTTAGCTTTCAAAATTGCCAACCCATCATCTCTGTACAGACCAACTTGATTCTTTCCGAACTTCGCCTCAAGTTTACTTAGGATGAATAATCCGACTAGTTCGCAAATTTCTGCCCCATCGTAGCTGCCCATTGTAACATCGAACATTGTTTCGTTATTTCTTTTAACCCATGTTTTATCTTGGTGAAAAAGTAAAGACTTGCGTGCGTGTTTGATGACAGCTACATGATCATCAGAGATTGGTGTAATGGCTTTGGCCCAGCTAATAACTTTGTCGAGGAGCTCTTCGGTAATTGAAGGATAAAAATCAACAATGTCAAATGACAGGAACATGTGGTTAGGTTTATTATTAACAGATTTGAACCAATCGATGACAGAATAGGAATTTTTCCATTGATTCACGTTGATGGAAGATTTAATGCGATTGTTAATATTGTCAAGAATGACTTTGCTGACTTTTCCCAGCTCGCTCTTTGCAGGATTAATGAGACGAAATTTGGGGTTGTTTTGAAAGTTTTCTTTGTGATCTTTCAGGGTTACATAATATACATATATATATATATATATATATATATATATATATATATATATATATATATATATATATATATATATATATATATATATATATATATGTATATGTGTATATATATATATATATATATATATATATATATATATATATATATATATATATATATATATATATATATATATATATATATATATATATATATATACTGTAAATTAAAAAGGGCCAAATCGACCCCAAATTCCGTTTCAGCCCTTTTGGGGCCAAAGCTGTTTTGGCCTATGTGAAAGCCATTTTGGCATTGGAGAGCTGGATCTGCACCGACGGAGCCATTTTAGGTATGGAGGAAAGCCAAATTGGCCCTATATATATATATATATATATATATATATATATATATATATATATATATATATATATATATACTGTAAATTAAAAAGGGCCAAATCGACCCCAAATTCCGTTTCAGCCCTTTTGGGGCCAAAGCTGTTTTGGCCTATGTGAAAGCCATTTTGGCATTGGAGAGCTGGATCTGCACCGACGGAGCCATTTTAGGTATGGAGGAAAGCCAAATTGGCCCTACCCTTTGCCGTAACGGACCCATCATTTTCCAATTTAGCCCCATCAATTGCCAATATGGCCCCACAGACCAAAACGACTCTCACGTCCGGGTTTGTTTTGGCCCCACATAAAGGGGCTGCTTTTGATCAACACATTGGCCCCTATGAGCTTCGTTTCGGCTCTCCATCGCGGAACGACTCTCGCATAGGTCAAATCGACCCTGGAATGAAATCGACCCTTTTGTCGAAACGACCCTTCTGTCAAATCGTCTCTTAATTGTGAGATTGTGTCAAATCGACCCTTCTGTCAAATCGACACTTAATTGTGCCAAATTGACCCTTTTGTCAAATCGACTCTTAAATGTGTCAAATCAACCCTTCTGTCAAATCGACTCGTAAATGTGTCAATTCGACTCTTCTGTCAAATCGACTCTTAATTGTGTCAAATCGACTATTAATATTGTGTCAAATCGACCCTTCCGTCAAATCGACTCTTAATTGTGTCGATCGTCCGTCGTATGATCGTATCAAATTAACTTCCGCATAAAACTTAAAGAATGCACATGCTCGCAAAGAAAAAGAAGAGGACGTTTTTTGGATTAATTTATACAAGGTGAGATTTGATGTTTCATTTTGTAGGGTATTGAAATTTGTTTTCCAGATTTTTAGTAATATTATCGTAAATATAAATACGGTATTTGTAAAAATTAATCACGAGAATTGAACGTGTAATCATAGAATAAGGCCTAGGTGTAATATTAATATTAATGATCGCGGGGACTGGGAACGAGAATGCACGCGCCCGTAAGCAATCGGGTTTGCGATCATTCTCGAGCATGCGTACTAACTTTTGGCGCCATTATCGAACGTTGGCCGTTGGGATTTGCTTCGACGAGGGATACGGATAAAATACAAGCGTAAAACCTCGTTCGTTGCAGTATATTTTGAACAAATAAACAATTTATTAGGAAAATACGTTCAAGAAACGTCTCGTGCTGTGCTAGCCTAATTCTGGCAAATGTTATTTACTTTCTTCACCTTCGTGTCGACGACTGTTGTTTGCTGATGGCCAAATCACGACAGCGGACATCAATTATTCAAAATATGTTCTTATAGCTTCACGTTTACGATACGAATGTAAGATTATTTATTTTTTGTATATGTAGGTTCTAATTGAAAGTAACAGCGACGATGAAAAAAGTGCACACAACATTGAAATATCCAGTTCACTACTAGCTCAAATCCTGCGACATATCACTTGCTAGTAGCCCAGTCTAGTTTAACTTTTCCCAATCAAGAATCATCTCCTGAATCAGGCATACTGGCAACACTGGTTCATTTGATAATGTAAGTTTTTAAACTGGTATTTTAGATTTATATAGCCTCTGTCAAATCAGGATGAAAATCATGCATGAATTGCTTATCAATACACAAAGGACATTTCAAGTTCCAGATGAACAAAATATTATTAAAGCTTTGATGATTGTTCTGCAACTATGTTTCAACTTTAAAATACTCTCATCCTCGTTTGACCCATAATTATTTGTTGATTTTACTCGATACTAAATAGTGAAACATCGAATCCAGAGAAAATCTTTATATATACAGAACCCACTGTAATTCCGAGCTGTAATCACATAATTATATAAAAGTCGTTTCAGTAGCAGCAAAAGCCAAACTAAACACCAATCTAGGATTAATAGGTTTAGCTTTTAGGCTGAGAATAATACACGATTGACAATTTTGTGGCTGATTGATTAATTAATTAATAGTATACTGTATATTGATGTTGTTGTATACAGGACATCTGACTTACATGTCAAATTAATAGTTGAATCTATGATTATATTGAGCATGGCAGATTTGACATTTGAAACATTGTTGATGTTGCACTGGCGGTTAATGTGTTAACTAGCCTATCTGCCCATGTGTACATAGTTAACCCATTGAGTCGCATTGTGCCCTAATGCGGCCTAAATTTATTATTTTACTCTGCCTATCAAGGGCAGAGCGCTGGCGCTTAATGTGTTAACTAGCCTATCTGCCCATGTGTGTTAACACATTGAGTTGCATTGTGCCCTAATTTATTATTTTACTCTGTCTAACGCATTAAGGGGAGAGCACTGGTGCTTAATGGGGTTAACTGGCCTATCTGCCCATGTGTGATGTTAACACATTGAGTCGCATTCTGCCCTAATTTATTATTTTACGCTGTCTAACACCAGATGATTTTACTCGTCAATTAAGGGGAGAGCACTGGTGCTTAATGGGGTTAACTGGCCTATCTGCCCATGTGTGATGTTAACACATTGAGTCGCATTCTGCCCTAATTTATTATTTTACGCTGTCTAACACCAGATGATTTTACTCGTCAAGGTAAGGGCGCTGGTGCTTAATGGGTTAATTAAGATATTAATTAAAATACCAAATATAATGTCTTATGGCTTATTTCAAATAGGGAGATGCTATGTATGTCCATTGAAATTTAGTGGATTTGTTGTAGTACATCAAATAAATGCTAGCCATAAACATATTCAAGTCAATCGAAGAGAATGTAGAATTGCACTTTACATAAAATTCCCTAGTTATTGTACATTAATGAAAAAAAAAAGCATTTGAAATCAAATATATTGTTTTAATTTTATTTCTATGGTTTGTACTATGATATACATGGGCTACACACTCTTTGGGAACCTGCAGGGCTGTTGGCAGAGCATTTCCATGATCTGAAACTTCAGTCCTAAACACGATGTGTGGGTGCGAAGATGTTGTGTAGGAACAGAACTGTACAGATTAGAAATATGATTACTGATATTTTCCAAAGAAAAACTATTAATATATAGAAGAGGAAAGAAAGAGGCAATGTGATATTTAAAAATGGTAGGCTTATTAAGGATGAGATACAGAGAAAAACAGTAATGCAGAACTACATTCTCTTAAATTGTCAAAATTAAACGCTACCAATTTTGGTCTTGTTTCAAACTTGAATAACAAAAAGTCTAAAAATATAAAAACTATAAGAACAGATCAGCTAAGTCCAGTTATAAAATTAAATGATGAAGGAAAGCTATCATTTTAGGAAAGTGTTGTTTTGGGGTGTGTAAACTCATGAGGTTACATGTTTCTGGTGAATCTGTGCTTGCTGCAGCAAAAATTTATTATTCATTTGTGATATAATTCACAAGATGTCTATTTTAACCTGTGGGTTGTGGAATTTGTTTTGTCTGACCAAGATATAATGAATACCAGTTAGTGACATGAGCATGTCCAATTAATATTTAACTAGAAATAAATGCATGCAGCAACCCCTTGCCTATATTTTCCAAACATTGATTTAACATGAACTATTAGCAATTGGCCAGCACTGAACACAGGCTCACGTTGTGTCAAGTGTTGTCAAGGCAACATAATGTCACATATTTTAAATTTTTTGAGTAATTTTGCAAGTGTTCATACCACAGAATCTACCATACATAATTTTAAACAAGTAGATAGGTGAAGTAATTCAAACAAAATGATTTTGAACTTTATTACTCTACTCTGTCGAACGCCTATTCTACTCGTAAAGGGGAGAGCCCTGGTGCTTAATGGGTTAAATAAGACGTAGCTCTTCCGATCTATATCATGTATTATGTTTTTATGTACTCTGCCTGAATCACTTGTACCAGGCTATGGAAATTCATGTTTCCAATTTTGTATTTATTTTTCTTATGATGCAGTATACTGTAAATTTGAATAATATTTGTGTGCTTATAGTGAGCTTATTTTTAGGAGCGTTTGTTGCGAGGCAGCATATATTTTGATTTTTCAAAATATTACTGTATATTGGTATGTTATACTTAATATTAGAATGTTAGGGTTTGGAATCCAAGTGAGAATATATACATTTTAAGACCTAACCAGGAACGACTGCGAAAAATGCAGCACAAGGTCCTCTGGTAGGAATCAAACCTACGGCCCTGCGATTCCGATGCAGCGCTCTAACCAACTGAGCTACAGAGGCCAGCCATTAAGCTGTAACCGTAAGTTCATGTATATATAGGTAATCGGGTGTGCGGGTTGTGATAAGGTGGACTTAATGACTTAGATTCTGCACTTCACTTGGTGGAATTAATATTATAATGAATCCAAGTGAGAATATATACATTTTAAGACCTAACCAGGAACAACTGCGAAAAATGCAGCACAAGGTCCTCTGATAGGAATCAAACCTACGGCCCTGCGATTCCGGTGCAGCGCTCTGAGCTACAGAGGCCAGCTGTTAAGCTGTAACCGTAAGTTCATGTATATATAGGTAATCGGGTGTGCAGGTTGTGATAAGGTGGACTTCATCATGATTCTAATATTAATTCCACTTAATGCTTTATACTTAATGCTTTTGGAAGAGTTATAGGGGTCGGGTGAGATATACTTTTTCAGGTATTTTGTGTCTGATGTATGTAAGAGCTTTATTATTGGGTTTCTTGGTGAGACCTTATATCTTATGTGTCCTATAACCCCCTGTAATTGCGGATTATTGCATACATTCTAATTGTTTTTTTTTTTGTAGGAGTCTGAAGATGCAAATGATACAATTTCAAACTTATCACAACCCATATTGTGGTCGTTGGCATCGAACTTACTAGAATACGACTAGAAACTGTCAATCATACGTTATCGAGGGAAAGGATGAAAGTTCCATAACAAGCAACAGTTGTTTTGATGCAATTATCGCCTTATTGGCAAGTTTTTACATCTTCAATATTGAGTACTGCCACACGAAGAGCATCTTGTCTGCTTTGCAGACTATAGTAGTGCATGGGCAAGACAGAAAATGGCATATACAACTGCCAGTGAGGGTCACAGCCCTCTTCAATGACTTGTCATGACTCATGAGTATTAGTACTACAGTAATTTTACACTTTTTGAGAGTTATGTTGACATATGCTAACCCAAGTTAATGTTATTGATGGAATGTGTGTATTGTCTCACATCTCACCGAACTGTGGTAATGTATTAGAAATTATTCGTATTGCGTTCATGTTAACAACCGCGCCTGCTATTGCTATCACAAGTTGATTGCTCTTTAAAATTAGAATTGTAAACTTTCGGAGCCATATGGCATATATGTACGAATCTTTTGATGGTTCCCACATTTCGGTGAGATCCATAATACTGACTACTGTGCATGTATATTGTAATTTTAGTTATAGTATTGTGTTTATAATACAGAAATTGGAACATTTATCTCAACTTATATTGCAATAATTCATTCCAATCTTGGTCTGTTGGAGAAATTGTAATAATTTAATCAAGACCAAATAAACCCCAATATTTTTGCCTGATTCATTATATACATGTAGAATACGTCTACATGCAAGAGTGCAACCAAATCCACATGACTTTAAATGCTATATAAAACGGCACCACCAAAAAGCTATATCAGCTCGATCGGTTCTAAAGCACCTCTTCATTGGGGCTGAGACTGCTCTCCTCTGAAACTACACCATGAAAAAAGCTATATTAGCTCCTTCGGCTCTAAAGCAGCTCTTCTTTGGGGCTGAAACTGTGCTCTTCTGGGGGGGCCAAAATAGCTCTGGTTAAAAAAGTAGGGGTTAAATTGGCCTTTCTTGTGGTCTATAATGGCTCTGAAATTGGACCAAATTGACCCTTTGGGTGCTACAAACTACACCATGAAAAAAGCTATATTAGCTCCTTCGGCTCTAAAGCAGCTCTTCTTTGGGGCTGAAACTGTGCTCTTCTGAGAGGGCCAAAATAGCTCTGGTTAAAAAAGTAGGGGTTAAATTGGCCTTTCTTGTGGTCTATAATGGCTCAGAAATAGAACCATATTGGCCCTTTGGGTGCTAAAAAACTACACCATTAGAAAAGCTATATCGGCTCCTTCGGTTCTAAAGCAGCTCTTCATTGGGGCTGAAACTACTCTGTAACTCAGTAGCCAAAACAGCTCCGGTTAGCGAGCCAAATCAACGCTTTTGGGGGTTCATTATGACCACAAATGGGAGCCAAATTAACTCCTCGAAATGCCAAAATAGCCCCCTAATTTTCTGAATTGGCCCCTATTGAAAGTTGAAATAGCCCCTGCTTTTGCCAAAACAGCTCCTACTAAAAGCTGAAACAGCCCTTACACTGGAAGGGCCAAATCACCCCTAGGGGCCGCAATGTTATAGGTGCCATTTTGACCCCAAAAAAAGATCTATTTTGCGGTCACCGTTTTGGCCCCATTTTTGGGGTCGTTTCAGCCCTTTTTAATTTACAGTGTAGATACCAATACATCTCAAAAGACAACGACAGTAGCAACCAATGAAGGCGACCACCGCGCCTCCGAGAAACATGTAGACACATTAATCGCGAAACTCCGCCGCAAAAACAATTATGTCCCAAACGGACAAACTGCCGACACCACCACTCGCCAACCATAAATCGGAGAAATTGGCCGGCAAACAATGATGCTGCTGAACACGGATCACACACCGTAAGGCAGATTTGACACGCGATAGGACCGTAGGGTAATGCGGTATCACCTTAATTATCAAACCTGGCTTTATTCCTGGTTAAGGTTACAGAACACCTTTGAGTGTTAATTTTGCCTAAAATATTTTTATTGGTTTCCATGAAAGCATTAGACTAGTTCCACTATCTGACCAACTTTGGACGAAAAATGTTGAAAACTTGCAGAGTTATTTAATAAAATACATTTCGCTGCAATAAGAAAAGCATTCAATTTTCTCACGATGAATTTTACGGCAAATACTGATTTTTAAACGAGTTGTGCTCCTGCGGGTTTTAACGAATTTTTCTCAAATTTTCACAGTACACAGCTAAAGACGTCAGTTTCAAAATGAAGTTCGGCTTTGTTCTAATTTTGGATATTTTAATAATAAGGAGCAATTCACACAAACGATTCAGAAATATATTGCAGTCGTCAAAGAAATCGCCATATCAGCGGAATGACGAAATAAACAAAAATTTCCGAACACAATTTTTTAGAACAACTATTTTACTGTATAAAAATGATATTTTCATAAATATATCTTAAAACCAGCAGGAACATAACTCAAAAGCGTAAAAGTACTGCGACATAATATTTTCCTGAATAATTCTTACAAGATTTTACTTGTTTGTCAATTTTACAACTTTATCATATTTTGCATGCACTGGAGAAGATTTGGTGAAAATTTGATAAAAATCGGACTGAGTTTGAGCGCGCAGTAGCGATTGTGAAGTCTGTAGTTACGATAACAGATGTATCATCAGCGTATTGACATAGCTTAACCGACCGGTCCGCACGAACTGCACTAGCTATTGTTTCCGCCACCAATACGTGGAGTAAAGGGAATAAGGGACAACCTTGACGAACACCCTGAGAGACAGAGAAAATCTCAGCTGTTTCACCATTGATCAGGATACAGGAAAATACATTTGAATATAATAAAAATACCCATTTCTGGAAGGATTGACCAAAATTCATAGTCTGCAATACACGGAATAAATACCCCCATTCTACCCGATCAAATTAGGCCTTCTCCTTGTCCGGCGAAAAAATTGCAGCGACTTTACGATTCTGATTGGCATGAAAAACCACATCCTTCAGCAAACGAACACTTTCTAACGAATTCCGGCCCGGCACCCCACAAGTTTGATCCGAATGAGTTACCTTGACAATAACACCCAACAAACGATTGGCAATAGCTTTGGCAGCAATTTTATAGTCAGCGCATAATAATGTAATGGGACGCCAATTCTTCGTATCAAGACGATCTCCACGCTTATGGATGAGCGTGATAACCCCAGATCACTGCGAGGGAGACAATTGTCCATGATTATGAGCAAAATTAATGACGTTGACAAAATCAGTTCCGAGAAGCGAACAAAAACGTCGATCGAACTCAGCTGGAAGTCCATCAAGGCCCGGGGATTTACCAGTATCCATGGCATCCAGTGCTCTCTTGCATTCCCCCTCAGTTAGTTCCCGCTCACACAAACTTTGTTCAGCTATGGACAGTTTCAATGACAAGGAATTCAAGAATAAGTCTTGTTCAATTCGCTCTAGGCTCTGCGCTATAAATAGTAAACAATAAAAGGCCACCCACGCCCGAGCGATACCCACGAAGGTAGAAACCACCGTGCCGGCCATGTTTTTAACTGAAGTAAAGATCCTGCGTTGACCACATTTACGTTCTAAACCGAAAAAATACTTGGTAGAGGCTTCTCCCTCTTCTGTCCATTGAACGTTTGCGCGAATACGGGCTCCACTCGCTTCATCTCGATGAGCAGCCTCTAGTTCACTTTTAATATCTTCAATGATTGGAAGGACCTCGTCACCATTAAGCAGACGTTTGTTCAAATGAACTAAGGTATGCTCTAACGATGTAATGAGCTTTCGACGGCTGACAGCTTTCTTCTTAGAAAATTCACGGATATATTGTTTTAGTCGCGCCTTGCCTGCATCTCACCACGTAGCAAACGACAAGAAAGAAGATTTATACACTCTCCAAGATGACCAAAAGTCCGACACTACAGTAGTTTAACGAAGGACTCATCTGAAAGGTGCCGAGTATTCAACTTCCAAACACCATGTCCACGATGGGTGGCGGACGGAAGACAAAGCTCCAAATATACAGTGGAGTGGTCGGAGCGGAAAAAGGGAAGGATATCGACACGCTTGACACAGGACAAGAGCAAGGCAGAAAGCCAAAACATGTCTATTCGCGAGGCTTGACGGCCATTGGGGCGATGCCAAGAGTACTCCTGAGTATTTGGATGAGTTGTACGCCATTCATTGTGCAAACCGTACGTGGACATCAAGCGATGCAAAGTCACTGACCAATTACATACACCGAGGGTGATTGGGAGAGACAACCAAAACGGTCTTTGATCGGATCACCACAGTATTGAAATCGCCACACAACACCGTCGGGGTGTCGGGATCAAGCACTTGATATAATGATTCAAAGAAAATAGACGCATGCTTTGCGGTATTTGGAGCATATATGTTCTCCGACTGGATCAAATTACCATCCTTGGAAAACTCTGCGCACAAAAGCCGGCCATCTTGGCCACGAGAGCATCTGGCAACATCATATTAACTAGGATTGTATAAAATGGCACCCCCACAACTAAGAATGGTTCCCGGACAAGAAATGCATTTGTAACCAAACTTGTTACAGCCCGACTAGGTGGCCTGATCCAACCAAGATGAAAACTCTTCCTCTGAAATGGAATGAGTCTGTTGTAGGCACACAAGATCAGTTTTAGCGCAATTTGCCCGCTTAAACAACGTTGCTCTGTTATCAGCTGTGCGCAGACCCAGACAATTTAGCGTGATAAATGTTAACTTGCTCATGCCGATTGTTGTAAATGTCAAAACGAGGACAAAAGGTGAAAACAATTCTGACATTAAAAAGAAGGATCGCCAATCCTTTTCGTTACCGGAACCGCAAAGATTACGGGATCAATCGGAGATGGAGATTCCGAATCACGATTTTCCTTCCAGGTAAGGTTCGGTGGAATTTGAGTTGAGGGAGTAGTCCGAGTATCATTTTCCTCTGATCGATTTTCCGGTATGTTAGGGTATTCGTTATCGTTGGCCATAGACGGTTCCTCCATCCATACTGCCATTCTCCTCATTTCCGCCTTCATAAGCTTCGATGGAGGGCGTACCAAGAATCTCGGAAGCAATAGACACAGAGTCATCCGCAGGAGTGACGGAGGGAAGAGGTGAAGAATCATCCAAATTAGAAGGCATTTGCGATTTGCTGGTACGAACCTTCCTCTGCACAGATGTAGTTCTTTCAAATGGAATTGCAACACCATTTGCATCATGATCCATGGATATGGGATCAACTTCGTCACTAAGAGACGAAAACGGATTGGGGGAGGAAAAACGAGCCAAAGGACTAGCAGGGAGAGGCAGAGAAGTAGGGACAAAATCATCCTCAACTATACTCCCATCCGAAGACGGATTTCGATCGACTCGCTTTTCCGAGATATCTGAAACATCCGAGTCATCAGGTTCCCTAGTGCGTTTCCCAAGAACTATAGAAACTGGCTGCTGGCTGCCTTCACCTTCTGGTAATGGCAGTTCCTCGAGGACATCAACAAACTCAACTTCATCATTCGAGTTGTCAGGATCTTAACGGGATGATGGCTGAACCATGGGAGAAGAAACTGCCGCAGAGGACGGGGGTAACGTAGATGTAACCCCACCTGGATTGACGTTACGAATATTTTTATCACGTACGTCTAACAGCTGCATTAGGAACATCAGAGTGAGTGACTGAATTGTTCAACTGCTGATTGACAACATCATTATTTGTAGAATTAGCATGCAAGCTCAGACTATGGCTATCGGCATTACTAGCTGTAATGGACGGATGAGGACCATCTGTTAATTGCGGAAATGCGTTTGGCTCTCATCAGTGGTATGCCTAACCAGATTACGCGTACCATGGGCACCAATGCGTTCGTCAGGTACTGTACTGCATAGAGATTATAAATAACACTAGAGGAGGCATTGTAATCTTAATTCAGTAAAAAAAAGGGAACGCGACTATTGGGGGGCAAATGCAAGTCCCGGATGTGTATTCGTGTTCCCATTGGTGACGAGTTTCAAATCAGCCAATGAGAGCACGATTTTATATCCGGGACTTGAATTTGCCCCCCATTAGCTGCGTTCCCAATTTTTAAACTCGATGCCTCCTCTAGTGTTATTTATAATCTCTATGCTGTACTGATCGACGGTCGATTTACTCTCGTCAATAGACCATCTGCATTGATGATATTTCCTGTAGTACGCGCGTGATTAGGGCAATCTTTAGTCATATGACCTGTCTGGAGGCACTAGAAGCACGTTTGAACTTGACCAACATAAAAACAGTTACAGGAATGAGCTGCAATAGTCAACCGCGAAGGAATGGGTTTAGACAGTTCCATTAAGACGTGACGGACCCCAACATAAACTCCATGAAAGGAGTCCATTTTAATCTGAATGACTTTGCTGTATGGCTTCAAAGCATCAGCAATCGCTTCAATGGGAATCCCATAACTCAGGCGCGTAATGTTTACCCATTTGGCCGTCCTGACCGGGTTGGACGTTAGACCTTTGAACATCTCGAAACGTAAGCCCGAGATTGATACACTTCTTCCATATTCAATGCGGTGCGATAAGTAATACGAACTTTGCGAGGCGATAATAAGACAAAAGCTTCGAATAACTTGGGAAAATTATCTCCCGTTTGGCGATGTAAGTCTTCCATTATGTTTTTGACAGTTACCTTGGCCCGCCCTTGAGTATTAGGAAGCTCTACATCCACCGTTCGATTTGAAAAAGGAATCTTAATGCTTATAACAACTTTAACACAAAGCACGAAATTCTATCAAATATGAGGGTAACCCCACACAATAAATTATACACAAAACGTTACCCCAAGAAAACTCGCAATCGAGGAACCTGGCCATTAAGGGCGGTCAAGCACCGTCCCCCAAACAAAATAAACACGAACAAGAAAGGAACAGACCCCTTCCTTAGAGTAGCCCCCTTATAGGCTCCTCAAACGAGAACAGCCAGAAACCACACAAAACCTCCTAAATAACACACCTAAAAGAAAAATAAACAAGGTTACCCCGCCCAACGACTACTTGCAGCACGACCAGGCAGCACGACCGGGCAGCACGACCAGGCAGCACGACCAGGAATCACCAACACGAAAACACCAAACAGGAACAATCAACAGGAACACAGGAAAACTTCGTTCTTTGGCAGCAAAATACCTAGCTCCTGTACGAACCAATAGCCTTAGTACTTTTGTAAATACATGGTAGCCGAGGGAATCGCGCGTGGTTTGTTGCCTGTTTTGAATGCTGTTTGATTGTATTATGATTGTGGTACGAACACTTTTCATATATACGCACGCGCAGAAACACATCTCCATGTTCATTCTTTTTAGGCACGCGCATAAACGGAATTTTCTCCCACAATTGAAATGTTCACGATTAGGGAATAAAAGCTGTCAAAGTGATTGTTCGAATGTGTACGTCAGATACTGTCCATAGTTGTGCCGATGATTTTCGATGAGGTACAGCTCTCCAATGAGAGGTAATGAGGTACGCTTTTGTCTTCTAAATTTCCCTCATCAAGCATGCAGGGGAAATTAGAGGACAAAGAAATTCTTTGTTTTCAACTAAATTTTCCCGGGGAAATTTAGAAGACAAAAGCGTATGCATAGGTAATGAGGGAAATACGTGATTAAACGTCCCTGTTGAAACAAAAGAAACCGAGGCTACCATGTGTTTATTATAAGTAATATAGCATGGCTTGAGGGAGATTAGTGATTAAATGGCCCCGTAACCCGAGGCAGGTTTGTGGAATCCCCGAAGGCGAAGCTCGAGGGAATTCCGAAAACCTGCCGAGAGTAAGGGGTCATTTAATCACTAATCTCCCGAAAAACTATGCTATTAGTTTCTAATAGCATAGTTGCGCTCCCATTTAAAAATGAACAAACATGCCGTACTTGCAATGAGCGAATTTAAGCTAAAACATTTGGTTCTTTGCTTGTGGGACGTAAAAGCTTGTTGCACATGCGCACTTTTTACGCTTTAATCGGTTACGCATGCGCAATCTATCAATTAACGTACCACAACAAAACGCTAAATATATTAGCATAAAATCGGAGACTACACGTGCGCAATTTAAATGATGCAACAACTCGGGGATCGGATGATAGACTATTGACGGCTCTGAGCTAACTGTTGCTGTTCCTTGCACGATTATGTGGGTGAGGCACTTGCCTAATGCGTAGTCTGCAGGGAGACAAAGGGTGTGACCCTTGCCAACGGGCGATTAGAACTAATCGCCCGCTAATCGTCCCTGTTGAAACAAAAGAAACCCGGGCAACTGTGCTATTACGTAAATAAAAACCTTGACATCGCCTTAGGCAAATTATTGTTAATTAATCATTGGTGTGGGGGGTTCAATCTCCTTTGATAGAAACTCAGAAATTTAATGCCGGTTTGGGGGAATGACCTCCACATATTTTTTGCAGATTACATATTCATAACCTGGGAAGTTCATAGTAACTGTGGGGTTGAAATGATGCGGTAATGATGTTAGGAATCTGTTACTGATTACTATGATCCCAACGTTAGCTCATGCATGTTTCTCCAACATGAAAGATCTTCGGTATATCGGAATCTCTTATTTGAAATTAAGTCCTTTTTTCAAAAAAGTACACTAATTGAAGAATTACTAGAACCAAAAAGAAATACTGGAACTTTCCATGTTTCGCATGTTGCACCCACTGGTCTAGTGGTGCCCACCGTGGCCGGGCATATTTTTCAAGCTCGCCCGGTGTGGATATGCACTCAGAGTAACATCGCAAACATATTATTCACCTGAGTACACAACACCAACACAGAAAAAAAATCATATTACTAGAACACATTGGTATTGAAGGAACTAGATATTGTTCCGAAATATCACTTACTCGAACCATCCTGACCGCGTAGCTCAGTTGGAAGAGCATTGGGCTAGTATTCCAAAGGTCGTAGGTTCGAATGCCACCGTGGCCGGGCATATTTTTCAAGCTCGCCCGGTGTGGATATGCACTCAGAGTAACATCGCAAACATACCTTTACCAATGTTGACCAACAAATATATTTCATATCTCATCTCCATTTGACGACAATTCCTTTACGTGCCAAAAAATGAAGCTATGCATAATTTGAGGACACGTTTGGAGAACATTAGAAATATACTATTTGTATTAAACGTTTCCCTTTAATTAATCGTCTATTTGTCGAATATTTTTCGTTTGCTTGCAAGATCTTCATCTGCCGATAACTGAATATTTTAGGAGAGTGGATTGCAACACCTTCTAGGTAAATGATTGCTGAAAGATTGCAAATTGTAATTGTAAGTATAATTGTAATTTAGCGGGGTTTTTTAGAAACTATATACTACACTTCTCATATGTTCATATTTTTAATATTTATTATCTGCGTAATTTTAGGGATTATTAAGCAATTATGTTTTCAATATTATGATTGCTGGCTCCGGCCACTGACGTATTTTCGGTCACTAACGTATTTTCGACCACACTATTAGTTCTGCTGGCGGTATGATTGGAGAAGACTTTCCACTTATCTGCCAAGTCTAAAAAAGAACAAAGAAGCAACGCGTTAAAATATGGTTCAAATGTAAACAGTAAATCGCATTACGTACGCGATGTTGTAAGTCGGAAAATGTCAGAATATACCCTTTCGGAAGTATGTCGCTTTGACCATACAACCTCGTTTTCGTTTCGAGAACATCAGTTCGTTAAAAGCAGAAAATCTCGATCATGAACGCGAGGCTGTTTTGCCAATGTGATGAACGTTCCCAGAGGAGGTACGACAAGCAATTAGCGAGTTGTCACGTGAGCTCTCGACCAATGAGATCGCTCTATTTTCCATCGTGCTATCTGCATAATTTGGACAGAAAAATTTGCATTCGACGGAAAATAAATCGAAAAAAAATATTAATATTAAAATTTTCTTGCAAAATTTCAAGTTTAGTAGTACTATTGCTAAAGATCTGGTGATATCTGCAAAAATCTCTGAGGTAAACGTTATTTTCAATGTTATTTTGATGTTTGAAGTTAGTCGACTCCCCGCGACGTGTTGACTCGAGTCTAAATATGTTTACAATGTTTAAAATGAAATATCTAGAATTCCCATGGTTCGATTTTTTTCATTTTTGGTAGTCGTCAAGACAAAAGTATAATCTTTAAATCTGCTGGAATGATCCCGGTGATCCCCCGGCAGTTTTCGAGATATTGACCATTGAAGTGACTATTGTCAACTCGACGTTCGCTAAAATGGCGTCTAATACCTTGGAAACAAAATGCGCCATCAAAGATGATATTTTCAATGAATTTTTTTATTTTGTTAAAATATTATTTAGAAGACTTAGGAGTTGTTTTAATATTTTTTTAGAATTTATATCTGTGCGATTTTCACAGTTTTGTTGTCTTTGGCCGACGCGACTGGATCGTGTACGTATTTCAAGACGAGCTTGATCTCCTGATACTGGGGTTTTTGTGGCAAATCGAGCTGCGGAATCCTCAGCATGGACAATCCAGGACAAATCAGTGTCATAACAGTCCATTTCAAACCAGCAGAGAGCTTCACTTGTTTTAAAACAATAAACAAGTTTTTATGTATCATATAACAAATTAAGTGGCATGTTAGTATATTGTGGGATCTTTTTCTGAGCTGAAGTGGGATCTCTGATCAATTTAATAAATATTATATAAATAGACGTCTTCTTGTTTTATTGTTGCATTAATTTTAATCTGAAAAAATACTCACAAAGTAGGTCAATTTACTAAAGTACATTTTTTACAGTTATTTATGTACATACTTAGTCTTATTTGCATGAGTGTACATGACAGATTGTTTTAATTAGATATACCCAGTTATCATTCATAACCTATGATTTGTTTAAAAAATGCTGGAAAAACTAAAAAGTTAGCCAATTGAAATAAATGCACTAATAACTTGCTAAACATACCTATGGTAGTTGCTATTTATTATATAAAAAACATATGTCAACATACACTCATGCTTTTTCCTACTACTCGAGTCTCCACTCACCAGGTGTCTTTATGAAAATTTTTGGATAAAATCCTATTTTAAAAAAGTCAACCCTATACTTGATACACAGAACATAGACATCCAGGACATCTCCTGCAGCAATTAGTGGGTGCAAATACTTGCATAGTTCAGAAG